CAATTTTAACAAAGATTTAAGCTTCTTCTTCGTGCTGTTGAACAAAAAGCTCCTGCCAACGTGAATCCCTGACAGTTGAGCATCAATATTCATATTTCATAAAATCGTGTGCAAGCAGAAAATAAACATCTCTGTACTCGCAGAAACCAAAAACAGAATAAATGCGGCTGCGTCAGTCAAACACCCTGGAGGTTTCCACACCCTCTCTGCTAATCTGTGACATTTCTTAGAGCATGGAAGCCTCTTTTCAATTTCTTATAGGCTTTCTCAAACGGGTGATATTGTTAGAAACCACATAATTATTAGAAATTTCTTTTTTTACGAGTGGGTCAGTGAAAGAACTTTAGATAACCTCTCGTCCACAGCAGCTAAGACGAGTTTTGAGATGAATCCACATGAGTGTCAAGAGAAAAAACTGAGTGTTGAGCAGTGCAGAGATCAGTGACAGGACAATCGCTCTGAGAGAATACTCTCCAAACAGAAAGGAAAAGTTTTAGGAGACAGTTTTTCTATTTGCAGAAAGTAAGGGAGGTTTTTTTGTACATTTTCCAATAATGAAGTTCAGTAGATGTACTGTATCAACTCAGGTGTGCATAGAAGAGCTCACAGGAACCAAAAATACTACAAGATAAACAATGTTGGAGACAGTCTTACTTTTTCATACAATTAAAGGTCCAGCCCCTTTTGACCCTGATCAATTTGTACTTCACCAGAGTGATTAATATTATTGTGTATTTGTGGCACGGACTGCTCTCCAAAAAACAATCAAATATAATTGAATACAGTTAATAGTCTTGAATTGTGTTGTTTCTTTAGACAATATAAAAAGATTCTACAGCCAAATTAAGTCCTTTTTTACATACTGGAAGACCATTTAATATAACTATGAAATGCACTATATGAAATGACTTGTCAGGATGGACGTTTGTGTGGTGTTCAGTCGAGTTAATAGGGTGGTTCGCAGCCACCCACACAAAAATAATGGCTCCCCGAGCCTCACTCAGTACCCATATCACGACTCGTAGCACCAACAGCAACTATTCTGCGATTCCCTTTTCTCCTCTCCAATTCTGCCCCGACCAGGCGTGCTATCAGCCTCCTCTGAGACTCTTCAGCACAGCCTTTGTGTACTGCATGTATTCTCTGTATTGTAATGAAAAGGGGAGGCAGCAGAGAAGTCAGCAAGAGTTGGAACAGAGTTAGTATTCAAAGCTGTGAACTCCAGAGGGTCATGCTATTGATAGAAGCACACCGGTACAGAATAGAAGATACAAAAGTTAAAAAAGAGCGATGTGCGTCTATGTGTAGTAAGTCAGTTTATTGAATATGTGCTCAAAGGAGGTGTTTGTTTGATGAATTAAAAAGCAGATGTGACAATTCTGCAGATTTTTGTTCTGACAGCCCAAAAATCCATTTATTTGTTATTTAGGTCACTGCCCCGAAGTCAGCCACAATATAACACCCTCTTGAGCCAGACCTTTTTTATTTTATAGTCTTTCTATATCCAAAGTACACTTTATACTTTCTTCTTTTAAAAGAGAAATACAATCACTTTTCTACAGAAATGTATTTTTCTGCTTTCCTTGGAATCTTCTTTGGCTCTCAGGGTTATGTGGATACAAAAGAATGGTCTTTTCATTACTGCATTTGTAATAATAAGACTATGTAGGTCTGCACTGCAGTACAAATCACTTTATGTTAGTTTCTCTGATGATTTGATGTCGACTTTAACCTGGGACATGTTGGCCTTTCATTATAATGGCATGCATGTTTCCATTATATGCATATTTAAATCCCCTTTTCCAAGTTTTAAAACAAGTCAATTGGAAATAATGAAAAAGTCAGCCAGAACAGCATATCCAAACCGAGTCACGGAGCGAAAAAACATAAAATGTGAAACCTGGTTAGATTTATTGATCCATAAAGAAGTACATGGCACAGAAATGCACGGCTCTTTGGTGAACACATTTGTGGGTAGATGTAGCACATTGCTCCACCTGGCAGCTGTAATGGCCCACTCATCATGCTACAGGATCATATCACAGCAATGCTGCAGCGTGAGCTCCGTCACAGCGAGGGGGAAGAGGTGATGGACTTTGAGACTGTGTCCTTCTTCTTTTTTACAAAACCTTTTCAAACAGTCTGCAGGGTCTGCTTGACAATCCAGACACAGTTCATCTCCTGCAGCAGCGGGGGTTTTTAGGTTTCATTTCAATTTTCTCTTTTTTTTTTTTTTCATTCTGCCAAGCTCCGCGGGAGTTAGATTCACTGTGCAGGTATTCTGGGATAACAAAAGAAAGGGCATTGCTTGCGGTGCAGGACAAAAACTTTTGAAATTGCTGTAAGTCAGCCATCATTAAATACTCCATTTTCTGCCCTTGCTGGCTCCACAGTAAACGGACATTTATCATGGTTGATTCAGCAGCCAGGGACATGGCTGGGCGAGAGTACATGACTGATGGACGCTAGAATGCAAGCTAAATTCAATTAAGTGACCTTTTATTGTCAAGGTGGATCGACAAATCTTCCGGGGACAGGATAGGTGAAATATTGTTATCGTCTGTCACTGAGATATAATTAAAATGGTGCTACAAATACATGGATCTTAGTGTACAGTAAACACATTTTTCAGCATTTATGCAGTGAACACAAATTCTTACAGTGTCTCAATTTGATGGTGATGAGGTGTTGTAGCTTTGGTTGCAGTATAGGAAATAAAGAGTACGTGTTAGCTCTTGATTGCACCTTTAAGGAAACCTAGTTCTGAATAACAATGGGAAATGACAAGTGTATGACCACTTGAGTGTCAAATGCACAGAGGAAAACAACCTCCTTACATAATCAGCAAGGTTTTAGTGTGTAACAGGAAGAAAATTGGTCATCAGCCTCAATCTTTACCCCTCACTCATGCTTATGCGTGGCTGCATACCTCATCAGAAAAATTGCGTATCCTTTCCCAATCTGTTGCAGTCCATTCAGAGCACGTCAGATGTGGAAACTGAGTGAATGCTAGCTGTTGTTGACATCGAAATTCACAAGGTTCGGGGTCGATGGGTTTGAATGTGCATCGTGTGCAGATAATACTACTTTATTCTTTATTCATTGTAAAAGAGTTCACAAGTTCAAGCTTCTCTCTTTGTAATTGTTGTCTGTGAGCTTGTTTTTGTTATATAAAAGTTCTCAGTGAGCTAAGAGAAATGAACCTTGATCTGTGACTAAAACTGTTCAATAGCTTAAAAGCTGCATTTACTGTTGTTGCCTTTCAATGTTTTTATTAGGCTGATCCGCTAAATGAAATATTGATTTATCATGTTAGTGATTTTTCTGCTGCCTGTTCAAGCTACACAACCATGTAACATTTCCATTCTTATTGTAACACAATGAATAAAGGCTTCAAAGTAAATGAACAGCAGCCGGTGAGGCAGGGGAAACAAAGGAAGATAAATTGTTTGAAGAAAGAAAGAGAGAGTCTTGAAAGCTTCCTGACCTGGATCCAAGTTAATTTGCCAAGTCGTACTCTGAGTTAATTAAAGCGACTTCTCCCAGTGGTGTGGTCACAACTTCATCATTACACCGGCTGGAAATGATTTGACACTGTATTACTTAAACAGAGAAGAGAGCGAAGAGAGATGTCTAGACTCTCATTGTTTTTATGAACACAGGCTTAATTGGTCCTTGTATTACTTCTTCAGGAAAGGTCTCAGTTTCATTGGTAACACTCTGACTACAGCCTGGCACTTAATTTGTTTGTTTGTCTTCCTTAAATCAAACTTACCGATTCACATTTTTTCATGGTTCTACATTTCCTGTATTTTTTAATGCACACATTTACTTGTCTCCTTTTTAACAATATATAAACTTTTAATTACAGATTATACATTATAAAAACTTTCCAGATGTATTTAATGGATATTTAAACAGATTTAAATGGTTATTTTTGAACTGTCACATACAGCCTCTACTCATTGCAGTATGCAGTACCAAAGAATATCCACAAGGTAGAGCTGTTCCATTATTTTTCACAACAGATTACTGAAAGTGAATTGTACCATGGATTTAATTTAACCTTAGATCTATAGCATTCTGGCAAATGTTTTTTTAAATGGTTAAACGTGATCAAAGTCTCCAGGGGTGCCCAGTTAGTCGGAGGCAAGTCAATATCTCAAGGCCAGAAGATGTCTCTTAAAGTAACTTGTCAAATACTTTTTGAAGTAAATTTCTTCTGTCATCTGAGAGAAAAAACGTATTTAATTATTTAAACTAAAGTATATATGGTTAAAGTGATGTGAAGCAACAAAGTAGTCTACTTTTTCTTTATAAGTACAAGTATTTCAGCTTTATGTAACTTTGTACTTCTACTCGACTATATTTTGGGACATTTTGCCAAATGATGCCATGCATCGATACAGATGCAACATATTTCACAAGTTGATATACTTGAATAAATAAATGTTTTGGAGTGAAAAGTACACTACAAAAAGTAATGTGCAAGTAGGCTACCTCAACGTTGTACTTTGTACTCTCTTTTACCTGTATGTAGATGCAACCACAGATATTTCTGACTTACAAAATGAAAATGTCTCTAAATAACTTATTATGTTATGAAAACGTTTGCACTCCATACAAATTGCATTGCAAAAGTCAAATGATATCCTTTGACTTGGTATTTACAGTGTTATAAATAAAAAGCACACTTATTAATGATCATAATATCTTTATTTGCAGCCTATGTAGAAGAACTCAAACTATCCCATTACTACCCCAGCAGCATGCACTACTGTAACACCTTCTCTTCATCAGGGAAGAGATATGTAAAGTGCTGCCTAGAAATGGATCACCAACGATAAGAGGTGCAGGACTTTAGGAGCGCAGCCTTCATATTTCCAGCCGGACCAGCAGTGTTTGGCCCTGCAGTATAATTGATAAGACTGGGTGTGAATGGCTGCTCTCTCACAGCCAATGGCTGAGCACCGGATGCGAGATATCCGCTGCAACAACAAGCGCTCTGTTCCCCCTTCAGCTTGACGCCATTTACAGCCCAAATCCCGACCTCCTCTCCGGAAAGAGCAAAAAAAAAATACACGAGAAAAAGTACTCGCAAACTCCCAGAGCCCTGCGGATAAAACACACCGAGTTTTAACAACTTCTGAGCTGGAGTTTCTTCTACTTCTTCTGCAAGAAAAGTGTAGTGCCGCTAAGTTTGCACTCCGACGCTGATTGATTGAACATTTCTCCCGTTTTAATACCTCGTGCTCTTGCGCAAAACATGGGATTTACGTTTTAGCGTTGCCTCTCATGAAAATGCGCCTCGGTTGGAAACTTTCTCAATGGATTTTACTGACGACTTTCCAGACTGAGTTGTTGATGCACGGAATAAACTCCCTCTCAAATTGGATTTATTTCACCTAAACGGGGGCTAAAGTGTCGAAAGCACGGTAAGTGAAGCCTTTTGTTAAACAAAACATGTTGCCTGGCTGTGTCATAAACTTGTTTAAAATATTTATCGTATAATTTTTTTCCCAAACATATAATGTTATGGTTTTACCAGGAGGGGCTGTCTTACTTTTGACAGATTTTGAGTTTCTGATCCGTATCTATTTTTGATAAAAGGTGTGGTTTTCCTGCATCTAAAATTAGCTCGCCTGGACTGAGTCTAATGTCTAATGTAATTGTTCATCTCATTGCTGGTGTCAGCTTTATTAGGAAATAGTCGTGTCCGAGTTGGCACATGTGTTTGCTCATAAAGTTCACTCTCTCTCTCTGCACAAGATACTATTAATCTCCTGCACTCATAATGTTAATATCAATCTGCTTAACACAGCAGAAATCACTGCCTTGTCAGATATGCATCAGAAACAATATGACTTATTGGATTTATATATTTACCTCTACACACATTGTCAGTTTTCTTTTCATATCCCTAGCCTGTCATTTTAAGAACTGATGCCATCAGTTTGCCCCAGTTTACTTCCTCTAGTCCCCCCACTTCACCCTCCCACTGTGGCCAACATGGCCTGCACACAGGGCCCTGTGAGGGGGCGAGTGGCTGCACGTCCCCCCCCCCCCCTTAACAGGCTAACATTTGAGTGTGCCTGGAAGCCCTTCATTTGGAGCAAAAAGGCTCATAAATCCTAAAGAACCCCCATGCATGCTCACAGAGAGCAGTCCTTCACTGCCTCCCACCCCCCACCGCCCACCGCCCCTTTGAACGCATCACTCAAACTGTACATGGTCTCTTTCATGCTCCTAACTTTTTTTATCTTGTCACTCATCTTCCTTTTTTCAAGAGTGTCACAATGCAAAATGCGTTAGAATGGGCAAGGTTGCTGCAGGCCATTTGTCATGCAACAAACAAAAGCCCTTCCTGTATTGTCATTGAAAAGGGGGGTACCTCGCAACCCCTAAGATTCCATTTGAAAGCTAATTACCACAAGGAAGGAGAATTAAGGCCAACACTGTCAGTTTCTATGCTTTGGTGTGATATGTCGGTGAAAACAAGGCCTCTGCATTTGAATATTTTAGCATATTGCCCTGCATTTATTTAATACTTTTTTTCTTCTTATTATAAATCGGGGAGATAATGAGTGATTGAGTGCCTATAGACTAGAGGTTGGGGTCAATGTTAGAAACTTAAAAGAGCAGAGGCCTTGATCTGCCGTTTACACTGACTCTAACACGTAGCCTAACATTTCCATTCCTGTGTCATCTGTTTGGCCCATATCAGTCTTCAGTAAAGTGCTCTACTTCCCTCTGTTAAACGATTGATTCATGAATCAACACATTTTTGCAGCTTAAATCGGATAATTTTCTTAATCATCCAGCTGGTCAAGTTTAAGGCTATTTTACAAAAATAAAAAGAACCAGTATGTTTTCATTTTAAACCAGCATATGGCAGTTAATTGATATCCAACATAGTTGCCAATTAATTGACTTGTTTTAGAAGTATTTTTGTGCATTTTAAAGCCTTTTTTTTGCTCACAGTATAGCGACGACAGGAAATGGGGCTGTGAGATGCAACAAGGTCCTGGCCGGACTTAAGCTGGCGTGTTCATGTTTAATGTCTTTAAGCTACCGGAATGCCCCGCAAAAAAAGTTTCTCACTCAATCATTTCAGTTCATAAACATGATACCTGGAAATGGAACTTGTATCATCTACATTATTTAGTTTGTATAGTAGCCATAGCTGTTCCATAGACACACTCTTGGGTTAAAGCCAAAAGCGGATCCTAAATGCCCAAACAACTCTTACTTCTGGCTCCAAACATTACATCATCTATGTAATCAGTAACGTCCATCTCGCTTCCTCATTTGTGTGTCAGACCTTATTTCCATAGTGGTGCTTGTACAGATATCGGTTATGATTTGCATGACGTTATTTGCATGGCTTGTCACAGCCGGATATAAACTGTGTTTTTCTGTTACAGGACTTCAGATGTGTCCCATGCCAGCCAGAGTGCCCCTTCAGTCCCGAGATGGATTCTACAAGTCAGAACGACAGCGATGGGGGAGGAGGACGCCAAGGGCGGTCATCGCCATCGCCGGGCACTCCGCATGACGAAGGGAGAACGCAACCTCGGCCTCCGCAAACCCGTGATGGTCCGCCAGACCCTGGGTTGACCAGCAGGCTGCTCCAAACTCCAGCAGTGCTATCTCTGGATCAGATCCGGATATCTGGGAGTAGTAATGAGTACACAGAAGGGCCCACAGTCGCCCAAAGATCTCCGGCCTCTCTGCAGAGGCAACAGAAGAGTGACTTGATTACGTCACCAGGATCAAGGACAAGTGGGCAGCATGAGACCCGGGAAGAGCTGCCTAATAATCTCCGTAACCTGCATTCATTGACTCGGCATGGAAACACAAATGCTTCCATGTCCTCCAGTGTGGAGGACTCCCAGAATAGCATCAGGACCAGCGTGGGGAGCTCTTCTTCAGGCCAGAGGCTCATGAGCAGCCCGGCAGGCAGCAACCAGATAATCAGAACCCAGCCCAAACGTGCAGAGCTCAACTCAGAGGAGCTGAAACCCCTGAACGATGAGCCCAGGGCTCTGTTGGCTGTGCCAGGCAGTGGAAGCAATAAAAATAAAAGCATACACACCACCAAGTGTGAGGACTGTGGTCGGTGCTGCTGCCCAGAGTGCAGACGCCCGCGGGTGCTTCCTTCCTGCTGGATGTGTAGCCGCCGCTGCGTGTGCTCCTTGCAGAGTGCCGTAGAGTACGGCACGTGCGTGTGCTGCGTCAAGGGGCTGTTCTACCACTGCTCCAGCGACGACGAGGACACGTGTGCTGACAAGCCCTTCTCATGCTCACAGTCGCACTGCTGCGTCCGCTGGACCACCGTGTCGCTCTTCTCCCTGCTCTTCCCCTGCCTCCTGTGCTACCTCCCCGCTAAAGGATGTGTCGGCGCATGCCAGAGCTGCTATGACCGGAGCACGCGACCCGGCTGTCGGTGCAAGAACACAAACCTTATCCACTGTGAGGATTTTGGCAAGCCAACGTAGACAAGACGGTGGTGTATGTTGCAGAAAGATGGACCATGTTGACTGACTGTAGACAGCCCTGTAGTTCTGTAGTTGAACGGTTTGATATTAGTGCTTGAGTTTTTGTGTTTCCCATCAAGATCTTCATGTCTACCACATCTGGGCAGAGTCAGTTTTGCCTTCAGTTGTCAACTTTTAATGCTGGTTGACAAAAATGTTACTACAAAAGGCACTGGAGGAGCATTCACTCACCCTGGCGTTATGAGTATCACTTGAAAGGTAAACCAAAATAAGCGCTCCATATGATAAAAGACATATCCAACTACTGTTTTGTCCTGAAAAGAAATTCTTCACTCAAGTGCCCAGATATGGTGTTGTTGCTATGAGAGTCCAAATGGATATCCTTTTTTTTAACATTTAATACAACTTATATGCTAAGAACAGACTCCTATTACTAACTGTATGTAAAGTAGTAAATGCAAAGGGTATGTACATTAGAAAATGAGTTTGACAGATGTTTTATTTTTGTACATATAATAATACTTCAACTGTGAAAAGATTTCTGCCACACCAGAGGCACCTTGATATGAATCAGTAACTTCATTCACACGATGTTTGTACATTCACTGGAATGTATATCAATCATTTTATGTAATTTACAAAAGAAAAATCTTATCCCTTCTACTTGTAAATTGTACAGTGACCTTATATGAGAAATTTATTTTCTAATTCCAACATTGCTTAGTGTAAAGTTAAAAAATATATATATTTATTTGAAGGTTTATTATTTTATAATGAAAAATATTTATTTTGAGAAAGCATTGTTAATGTGTCACCTCTTACTGTCGTTGCTGCAGATTGTGAGGTGACCTGTAGGAGTGTCAAAGCTGGATGAATAGTTCACTATGAATTAGAAGACAAATATATTAACGTTTGAAATTAAACAACCTTGAAGTCTGACTGTATTTTTCCTGTTTTTATTTCTGCATTGTCTTGTGTACTCTCCAAAAACATGATGGAGAAAAAAAAAAAGTATTTCTATCCGATTTTGTGGAGAGGCAATTTTGCGTTGGGGCCTTTCCGGATGGTTTGAACCAGACTTAAGCACAGTTTTCACATTTTTAATTGAACCTCTGCACGAACACCTCCATGGAGAGCTATCATCAGCCTGGCTCTGCCACACAAACGCCCCACAATGTTTACAGAGATCAAACAAGGACGCATTAATGTTCACCTCTTGAGAAAAAAACATCTGGCTCTGGTAAAGCCATGTTCATAGGAATGTGCACTTCTGTTTGCATGCACTCCAGATGTAAAGGCAATCACTTGTTTTTTATCTAATAAATCAAACACCCCACCTGTTTTTTTGCAAATATGCATGTTAGCTTACTTTTACACTCCTGACTTCAAGTTCATTTCATACACCTCTGTTTCCTACAGATACTTTTTTTTTTTCCTCCCTTTCTTTTTATCAAAGGTTTGTTCAGGAATTCCTTGGTCTTGAATGTCCCTGCAGGCGAAACATAAGCCTGAAACATAAGCCTCTGACACTTGTTGACAGCATACGGACGTGTTTGCGGCGCGGTATGCATTCAGAGCTGTGATTGACACGCCGAGGCCCAACCTGCACTCACTTGTTTGTTATTCATCCCCAGCCTTTGACTGACTGGGGGTTTGCTTTACATAATTATCAACTTTCACCTATTTTACAGTGCTGCTGGTGGAGGGAGGGAGGGATGGAAACAACGGGCAGAATCCCATTAGAGACAGAAAAGGGAGAGTTGATCTTACGTTTAGTCTTTATCTCTCCAGTCGCAGGCCTCCTCTCTGCCTCCATTGTCTCAGCTGTGAATGAAGAGGGAAGGGGTGGCTGTGTAGGGGGTGGGTTGTTAGGAAGAGGGACCGCAAAGGGTTAAAAGCATCACTTTGAATGACAAAGACCTAACAGTTTACCCCCGTATTCAGCCCGGCATGCATTCATCCTGTTTTCAATAGTCGGGGGGTCATTTTGGCTCCCCAACGCTCCTCTCTGCTACCTGCTCCTACTTGGTATTCCCATAGGGAGGTGGGTGTCTTATTGGAGGGCGTAGGGGAGGGCTGATTTGTTGTGCTGTGCCGTTATAAAGCAAAAGTACTTATTTTTCTCTCTTGTGCACATTATAAAGTTATCATTTTCTTTGCTTAAGACTGTCTCCACACGTTGATATAATTCCCCTTTTGTGCGGCAAGATGTTTGGAAGTCTGCATCTCAGCTGTGAGCGAAATGCTCAGTGGCACACTTAGATCAATAAGTGTCTGGAAGTCATAAAGCATAAGGGCCCCCCTTGGGGTTTCTTGGGTCATTTCAGTTCCTCTGTGCTGTTTTTGGATCAGGGAGGGTACCTTATTTCGTCAAAATGCTGTACACCTCATTTAGGGATGTGTCACCTGATGTTCACCGGGCACAAGGCTTCTCGGACTTAGTGGTATGTTAAAACAACTTTTTTTCTGAGTGGTATTATGTTTAAAGTTCATTTGTTGCATAATACAACTTTAATAATCGACATACGATGCATTCACAGACTTATTTAACCAATAAACTGACAAACGAGTAACGAGATCAGAGCAGAAAGGAAGAAATCCTGACTTAAAAGTGAGAGTTGGTGCATGAAAGCATAAAAACAAGATGCACGGAGAGAGATGGTTTATCCACCGACAGTCCCAGTGATTTGGCAGCAGAGAGGCAGGAGGAGGAGGGGATGTGAATTGAAAAAAAAAAGCCCCAGAACGGCTCTCTTTGTTGGTTTTAGCTGCCGTGGCCCCTGCGGCTCATGGCGGCTGTGGGGCAGAGCGGCCTATTCACCCTGCTCACCAAGGCAGAACGCAGCACAGGAAGACAGGAAGGAAGCGGGGCTATTCTTCATGGACGCATTGTCTGCGTGTCTGACGGCCAGGCTTAAGCAATCAAACAGCCCTGTGAGAGAGAGGGGACATGCAGGGGGCTCAGGAGATGTGAGCCGCCATGTGAAAGCATTACAACTGTTAGAAATATAAAGATTAGGGAGGAATAATATGTAGAACGCGAGTAGAAATACTCACAGTATTGTTCCATAGTACCGGGTACATGATGTTGCTCCTTACCTATTTTAAGAAGAATATATGGAACTGTTGACCAAAAGAAGTCAGCAGCTTGTTTGTAGCTTTAAGACACACAAATCTGGTAAATTCATTAAACATGAACTTTTGGTACTGAGTACTTTTTAAAAAAATGCAAAATGTGCACAAAACCTACATCATAGTTTATATTAAAGTGGAGAAAGTTCAACTTCTTTCTTTGCACAATATAAGTCAGGCCTACATATAAGCTAGTGACTTTGAATTTGAACTACAGTAAATGAACTAGTACTGCTTTAAAGTGTCATTTAAATTAGTTACTGTTGGTAAAGATTACACACTTTTTTTGTCATGTCAAAGGCAGGGATGGAAAATCAACTGAGAGGAATCACCATACTCGACAGATTTACTTTTACACTTCCTTTTCATTAGAACAATCATCAAAAGTGAAGTTTCCTTTTTTCTTTGGTAGTAAATCATCTTCCTGAAAGTGTCTGGACTTTGCCACTGTGGTTTATCATGTTCAACATTCACAACACTTTCTTTGAGTTACATAACCTCTGTAACTACACTGAGAAGACACACACTGTGTCACTGAAGTGTTTTCAGACATATATATGACTAAAACAGCCAAAAATAAATGTACGTTCTTCCAGTCGGTCACAGAAAAGTGAATTTAACACTTTTTTACAAAGACGTAAAAAATTGATACAGAACGTAGGTGTTGAATAAAAAAAAAACACTGATCTCTTCTCTACCGGTGAAAAGCAGTTTCTCAGAAGCTGAACTTTTCTTTCTGATTTTCCGACGTGGGCGGCGAGGAAGCTCACATCTAGAGCTCGAAGCTTAAGCGCATCCACCTGACTGTGGTTTAACTTTCCATTGAGCTTGTCCTCTGCTACTCTCACTATGTATTCAGTCCAATTACAGAAAGACAAGTTTAATTCGAGAATAAGTGACACCTGACACAGAATGTTAGTGACAAATCCCAGGTCCTAAACAGCAACCTTTTCCCTTTTTGTTGAATTTTTATAAAGCAGAGAGGACACATGTTCACCCCTGCAGTTTTTTGAAGGTGTGCTGCTTTGCCAGGTGAATTACGGGGCACGCCTGCAGTTAAAAATCGTATGCAACACCCAACTCAGTGGCAGCTGAACTACTGTTATGCCTTGAGGAGGAAGATTACAGCAGCCAGGAAGGCAAAGAGAGCAAATAGACGGAGCAAGAGGGAAGAGAGTGTATCTGTCATAAAAGTTTAGTGAGTGTGAAGAGACGGAGGGTGTGTGTGCAGCATAAAAGCCTGCAGATAAGTCTTTGCACATGTTGAAAACTTTAAGAAATGGACCTGTAGGCGTGCATGTGTGCTCATGGTCATGTATGCATGTGTGTTCTTGCACACGTGTGTGTTTCTGTCAGCATAATCAAGTATGTTGCCCAGACAATGAAGCCCGACTGGAGGCCTAAGTCTAATAGCAGCACTTAACTTCAATCCACCACAGGAAGTTGGCTCATCTGCACGTGTACACACACACACACACAGACACACAGACACCCACACACACACACACACACGCACACACCCACCAGCACCAACGGAGTCGGTCCGTTGCTGACAGCCAGTGGATATTTGTTGGCGACACCGTGGCTGCAAGGCTCTTTACAGCTTAGCGGCCAATTGTTGTTCCCCCAGATACACACACGCACACGCACACACACACTAAGAGCTTAGAGCTTCAGTTGTTATCCTGAAAGGCAATCCTGATCCCTCTGCTACACAGTAGGACAGACACACATAAAAAGAGGAATTAGTGCGGTCTGACAGCTCACTATACCTCATCGCATTTAGTGTGTGTACTAGTGTGATGGTGGCAATTATGTGTGTGTGTGTTTTGGGGGCGTGCATGCACATGTGGATGCATGTGTGCAATCATTAACAGACTAGAAATGATATAAGAAGAGTTTACTCTCTATGAAGAGAAAAGCAGTCATTCATCGCACAGATATCTTTTAGTTTATATGACAAAAGCAAACAATGTATTTTTACATAGATTGGTGCAACATTAGCACTCAGTAGCATTAGCATAGTTCCAGGAGACTGATGACATTGAATCCAATCTAATCAATTGCCTTTTTAAAGTTTGATAGTTAGTTATGAAGCGTATATTAATTGGCTTGTTTCACGAATGCTACAGTGTCCTTTTGATATACAATGTGGGAAATGAAAAGTCATTTTCCACACACGAATGGGACTCTAACATGCAATAGGAAAATACATTTCCATATTTAAGAATTTCTATTCTTATTCTAGCCACATTTGCAAGCCAACTTCTCCTTTTCCAGGTGCCCCATTCACCTCAGTGGCATCGTGTAACCCTCTACCTGAATAGTGTCATTGAGACCGACATGACATTATTCAAATCAAGGCACAAGGAAAGAGGGTGAGGGCATTTGAAAGTCAAATCCACACTCGCATAACTGATGCTGTGGTAGAGAAAAGTGATATAGCAGACGACACACACTCTTAAATCCATTCAGCTGTGGAGAAAAAGAAGATGCAAAGAGTTTGAACTGGACCAGTGATATTACTATATATGTCTCCATTGTCATCCTTCTGTAGAGGGCTGGAGATAGTGTGAGAGGAGAGGGTGAAATCATGTGGAACAAAGCTGTGGAAGACACCGATATGATCAACCTGTGTGCCATTCAGCTCCATTTAAAACAGATTCCCTCTTTTTTTCAATGACTCAAACTTAATGATGCGTTGGGTATGTCTTGGAGGTTAAAGGACTGTAACTAAGACGTGTTGCACTGAACTGCAAAGTGCGATTCAGTGTGAAATATTCATATACACCTGAGACTCACAGGCA